TCATGGAACAGCTGGTAGTTTCGAACTGCTGACTCTGAGATTAGCAGCCTGATCTGTAACCACTACACTACCCAAAACTCTTAATTATCTACTCATATTAATCATTCTTAATATTTTAGTTTTAAACATTATTATATCATCCTTGTAATAATTTTGCTTTTACCGGATATAGTACTTTCTTGTTGGGGTAGAAATGAGTTTAATTAGTTAAATTTTGTGTGACAGTGGAAATACAGTGTTGCCGTTTGACATAATAAATGTATAGATTGTGAAACTGCTTTGCTAAGTTTTTAAATGATCAAAGAGCTGGTTTTTCTTTTTGTGAGTATATTGTCTTCACTTGTGGTTCTGTAATTGGCCCATGTGATGCAGCTAAGCAGTACAAGGCAGTGCTGTCTACTTTGTATGCACTTCTCATTTGATGGCTACAGGAACACAGTTCTACTAGCTGTTGGATTGCAGTGTTACTTTAGAGACATACATGGAGAAAGACATAAAGATGCATCGTAAACTGTTCGTTCTGACCAGAGGAAAACATTAGGGTTGTATTTTGATATTTTAAATCTATTTTAAGCTTTAAAAAGTTACACAATAGGGAACTGCTGTCTTTATTCTACTTAATACATGAGCACTTGTATCTACATTCCTACATTTTAACCCTGATAACTTTATATGATTTCAAAAACAAGTATTTCTTGAATTACATGTTAAATGTTTAACTGGGCCACAAAAGTAGATTCATTTTATATAAGATTGATAGGCTGAAGATGTGAGAATGAATTGTAAGTTTGAAGCAAAAATTGCTTTAAAAAATTTTTTTTTTTAATCCAAGAATAAAGGCTGTGTTGTTTGGTGATAGCCAGGGGCTGGCTGAGCATTTTGGCTGTATTCCGAGTTCTGCCACTGACTCACTGTGTTTTTTGGCAAGTAACTTATCCTCTCTGAAACAAGTTCTTGATTCTTTACTTCTCTATTTGTAAAGTTAGTATAATAATATTGTACTGACCTCAAATGGGTTGTGTAATGGTTTCTCACTTTAGAACTTTCCAGCATAAAAATAGTGTCGATTTTCAATAGCCATACTTTTTAAAATAAACATTTCTAAATCGTTATCTCTTTATTAGGTAAGTATATTAGAAAGACTATTTAAATGCAAAACAAAACACAACCCTCAGTGTACTGTTGAAAATAGCCACGTTTTTTTTAAAAAAAAAGCCTGCTGACATTTTAGTTATGACATTTTAAGGACTATACCCTATAAAGTATGAATGATCATTTTATTCATTTATTTTAGTGTCAGAAAAAAGAAGAATTTATTGAAAGAATTCAAGGATTAGATTTTGATACGAAAGCAGCAGTTGCTGCACATATTCAAGAGGTAACCTGTATGCAATTTTCATATACTTTTTATTAAGCTTGTGATGTCTTTGTGTATCTCCCAAAATATTTAACATCCTAGGATAAGTGAGAAAGAACATCATGATTAAATATAAATGAGCCTGCATTTGGTGAATTGTCTTCTCTTTAGAGATAGTTTGTTATATATGGCTTGGTTTAATTGTGAATGTACTGTTTAACCAGAGTTATGTGGACAGAAAGTATTATTTGAGGAATGAAGTATATGTCTTTGTTAGCATGAATAATATAGTAAATGGAAGCAGCAGAAAGTGGAACACTGCTTATAATTCAGAACTTTAATGCAGTCAGATGATAACCTTAGTATTATGGCCTTCCAATGAGTTTCTTTTGAATGAGTGGACATAGCATAATTTTATTGATGGTATTACTTGAATTACAAACACATAATGAATTATATATATCAGTCATATAAAAACTAAAATCTGTTTCAAATAATTAAAATTAATTTATTTGCTAAGATTGGTTTTAACAGTTGATATTTTTCTCCATCTATCTTTGGGTTTTTAAGTCTGTACACCTATTGAGATTTTTTTAGAATTACAATATGCTGAATGTTACATATTAGTTTTAAGAAAGGACAAAGAAAGGGATAAGAGACATTTTAAATCGTCAAAATTTGTAGTGTTTAAATTTGTCTCTCTTTGGAAGACTTTTTGTTCCATGTTGTTGTTGTTGTCAGGTGCCATCGATGACCTTTTTCTTTAGAGTTCAGCTTTCTTGTCATTAATATTGTTGCCAACAATAAGCATATTAGTAGTATTCTACCGAATACAAGGGGGCTTCAAAAAGTTCATGGAAAAATCCAATTAAAAGGTAGTCAATGGACTTTTTTTTAAGCCTTCTCATAAAGTTATGTTGGTAGAGCTGTTCTTTACGTATGTTTCAGGGCTTGGAACTGATTTAGTCATGACTGACAGAAACTGAAACAGACCTAGATTTTTAGAAATTTGTGTGATCCAGAATGCTAAGGTAGAATGGGGCCAAACCCCTGGAATGACACTGGAAAGAGACAGCTAGTGAGCCCTATAGGGAGCCTGCTAGGTGACATTGTATCATTTCTGGACTGGTGAGTGACGTGTGGTCAGCCATCATCTTTGAGCTGGTCATCATTGTTTTCAACTCAGCCTGCCAAGTGATTTGTTTGTTGTATAATGCAGAAGCTGCCTTTCATTTCTAAGAGGGAGATTACATTTCTAGCTGGGCTTTCTCACATAGCTTTTGTCATTCCAATTAATGTGGGGCTCACACCCGCATTTTGAAAATTCCGGTCCCTTCTAGTGTTGTTTGGGTCTGCTGTGAAACTGTGAATGAATTTGAAACCCTGACTTGTTTTTGCTAGCTTTGTGGTGGGTATTTAATTTTGAATAAATGCTAAATATTGTAAGTTTAATAAATATGGCACCATTCTTGGAAGTGTTATTTTTGCTGTTAATTGTGAAAATTAGAGCAAAATATAATAATTGCCGTGAGAAATGGAAAGCAAGAAATAAACATTTCACTTGTAACTTTTTCATTCTTTTAAAATATCTTTTAAATGAAAGTTCCTCTCCCATTTTGCTATTGAATTCAGGTACAGTACCTTTAAGTAAATGTTTCCTATGGTTTGCTAAGCGGAAAAAATACAGTTTTTCTTTGGTAGATTTCTGAGTGTTCTTTAAGAAGAAGAAATATATTTAATTGAAAGTAATTTTAGTATTTTCATAGTTTATTTCAGATGTTCTTTATCTTACTTAGGTTTCATTTTATGCTGAAACACATTTAGAAGCATTAGCTATTTTTGTTGTTATTTTGTTTGCTTTTCTAAAGGTAACACATAATCAGGAAAATGTGTTTGATTTACAATGGATGGAAGTAACTGATATGTCTCAGGAAGACATAGAACCACTCCTGAAAAATATGGCATTGCATCTGAAAAGACTTATAGATGAAAGAGATGAACATTCAGAGGTTTGTAAACTTCTTTTAATATACATTAAAGCGTCTTTTCAAATACAGATCGTAATAGCTATGGAGTTTGTGAGTTAATAATCTATTTCTTAGGGACAGGTAATAAAGTACTTAGTGTTTTTTGTGGAACACAGAAACCAGAAGGCAACTTTATATAAAAATCCCAAATTATTAATTTAAAAAAATGCTATTAGATTTTATTTTCTCCATTGTTTTAAAATTATTATTCTGAATTTTTTCCCTGAGTGTTTTTCAAGTCATCTGCATAGTTCTGGCAACAGTACAGAAGTGTGAGACTGAAAATATAGTTGATGTAAGTGGAAAAATCATTGCCTTGAAGCATAAGAATTTGCTTAAGATTAATTTCTTAGTTTTATTGCCACATTTAGAGGGTAGAAAAATAAGTGTTAATAAAAAAAGGAGAATAGCAGGTGTTCTGAATAAAACAACCACAAAATGGCTCAAATTTTTGTAATCAGTATAATGAGGTGAGATTTTTAAAAACGATTATTATAAGCTCCTTTAAGACAGTACTTTTCCTTTTAAAAAGACTGAAATTGCACCAAAGTTTCTGTCTGTGTTCTTTGAAAGCAGTTTATAATTTTAGAGGAGTCTAGACTTCAGTGCACATGGTGGTGAGTAATATTTTCTTAATAGCAGACCAGAGTATTCTAACATTAAGGAGAGTCTATAACTTTGATCATTTATTCCATTTACACAGGAGAGGCAGTTTTGAGCTTATTTTGTAGTGAATTTGTGTGATTACTCTTAGGATCAAAGAAAGGCTATATAGAGGAAATTCTTAAAGATTTTTTCCCCCTCAACATACCTTTAATTTCTCTATAAAGTATATTCAGTTTTGATGGAAATTTTTAGTCTTTCTTCAGGCATTGAAAGAGAAGAAGATATAGAGAGAATATGTATTTTAAAGCAACAATTAAAAAATAAAAGCCCAGACCAGGGCAGGAAAAGAATATAATGAATTTAAAAACATTTCTCCATGTGGGCAGATTACCCAATAAGCAGTGTAGTACATGTTTACTTGTGTTTACTTACTAATCTGTAGGAGCTCTGGTAGGGTAGTGGTTATGAATCAGGCTGCTGACCTCAGGGTCAGCAGTTTGAAACTACCAGCTGTTTCATGGGAGAAAGATGAGGCTTTCTGCTACCGTAAAGATTTACAACCTTGGAAGCCCTATACACGGTTTCTATTAGTCCTAACCAACTCCACGGCATATAACAACAACAACAATTTACTAATCTGTAGTGTACAATTGCGAGGAGCTCTGGTAGCGTAGTGGTTACGAATCGGGCTACTAACCTCAAGGTCAGCAGTTCGAAACTACCAGCGGTTCTGCAGGAGAAAGATGAGGCTTTCTGCGCTTGTAAAGATTTACAGCCTTGGAAACCCTGTGCAGGGTCACTATAAGTCGGAACCGACTCCACGGTACTTAACAACAATAAGTGTACAATTGCACATTTTTCCCCACATCAAAGATTCTGTTTCGAGGTATGGCTGGCATCTGCCTCCTATCCTCACAACGCCTTCTTATACAATAAAAGCCTTTTCCCAATGTTATAGTCCTTGACAGGGATAGAGTACCAGTAAACGAGGTTAGCACAGGCTTACTTGTGCTTATTTATTAATCTGTACTGAGTAGTTTCAGATGTTTTTCTATACAGCAAAGAAAATGTTCACTAGAGATTATAGTAAATAAGCACAAATAATACTGTGCTTACCTTGTTGGGTAATACAATCCACCCCTGCGTCCCTGCCTGGACTATATCAGATTTATCCTGAGATGCTTGGATCATTTCATTTTCAGTCTCTTTTTTTGCACCATATACTGTTATATTCATTTTATGCTAGTATTTTTTCACTGCTTTTATCAATTTTCTAGAATATTCTTGTATATAACAACTTTATTTCAAGCTATTTAAAGTATTCAGTAAGGTACCCTCCAACTTTAGAGGAGTGAGCTTTAGGAATCCATATCTTGTTTTCATATCACTAATGACTGTTTGCCATCCAGTCTGTTCTGACTCATAGCAGTCTTGTACGACAAAGGAGACCTGCCCCCTAGGGCGTCTGAGGTGATGATCCATACAGATGCAGATCACTCAATAGGTCTTTTCTCCTGCAATGCTGCTAATGGATTTGAACCATTATGGATTGAAATTAAATCTTACTTAGATTTTCACTTTAACTTTCTTCTGTTTTGATCTTGTTTTATTTCAATCTATAAAATATAATTTGGTCACTCTTGTTCTCATTTCTCTTGTGTTTTTTATTCTTAATGCCATGGAACAAGTATATCCTTTAGTTGAAAATTAAATAGTAGATTTTAATGAATTTAAGATCTCTGTATTGTAACTGTTTAGTTTATGCCAGGCTTTGTGCTATAATTTTAATGAATATTATTTTATTAAAATTACACAATGACCCCACTTCATAGATAAAAGAGGCCAAAGCTCAGAGAACTTAAATAACTTGCTGGTTCTAAGTCCTTTGCTTGTTGCCTACCATTATACTATCTTTTCCAGAATCCTTGATTATGCTGAATGTATCTCTGTTTCCTTTCTTTAAAATAATGAGTTCTTTAGCTAGAATTATTAGGTCACGTGGTTTTTCCCTTAACGTTGAGGTAGCTTTTCATGTTTACTCTTTAACATGTACAGGGGGAGCTTCAAAGAGTTCACAGAGAAATGGTATTAAAAGATAACGAATTGTTCCATGAACTTTTTGAAGGTCCTTCATATTTCAGAAAAAGAACTAGAGATGGTTACAGTTTGGAAAGGAAGTTATTTTAATAATATAATTGACTGTAATAAGATTTTAAGCGATAAGTACCGAAAGCGAGAGATGTGTAAGTACTATAGTCACTCACAACTTCTGTCAGCATCTTCCCCCAGACTCATCCGGGATAAGTGATTTTGGTGGGAGTTTACAAAGAGTCTGACTAGAAGGCACATACAAGTAATTACTGAACCGCAGCTGCTGTGGCAGTGGGTGACACTATTGACAGCGGCAGGAAAGTTGGGATGGGCATACTGTGGATATGTGATAGGTACAGGGCAATGCAATTTCTTTTTTGAAGTTAGATAAAAACGTGTATTTTGAAAAGTGGGAGGAAAAAAACTAGTATTATTGTTGTTAGGTGCCTTTGAGTCTGTTCCAACTCATAGCAACTTTTGTGGCTTTAAATCTATGTGGTAGCTCTGAAAGCCTCACCTTTCTCCTTGCAGAGTGGCTGGTGGGCTTGAACTATGAACCTTATGATTCGCAGTCCAGTGCTTATCGTATGGCGCCACTGTGCTCCCCCATCCCCCCAAAACAATAGAAACACAGGAATTGAAAATAGTGGATTAAAATTGCATGTGTGTTGGGAGCAAAAAATGCGTAAGAATTAGCATGGTAGCTCCATAGGATAACCACTGGATTGCTAACCACGAGATTGGTGGTTTGATAAAAGAACAAGCAAATATTGCTCACCCAGGAAACATCAAGGCAAGTGGTCGGGTCCCCTCAGGGCAAACCCCCTTCCAAGACTAAGACTCAG